TCCAGAAAGCTGATTCGGCATCGTTGAGCCCTAGCCGCATGTTAGTTGTGTGCGTCAGCTGGGTTCGTTCAACCGACTGCTATGGTCGATTTAGTGGTCGTTCTGACATGTCACAAGTAACAATGGAGCAGTCTGGCATTGAGTAACAAGCCTTCATGAGTCGTCCGGCAATTATGAATGCCTTTTCCGCGATTTTAACTCGTATTTACTGTTACCGCGGTGCCTGAAATCACACTTCAGTATTCAAGCAGTCATGCAAATATAAATGTCAATACCGGAGAAACACTTCAGCGTATTTTGCATCCACAAGGACCATTTGGCCGTTAGAAGGTTACCCGAATTTCTTCAGCTGAAGAACTACATGCAAGTTTCGTCCATTGTAAACTGTTTACTTTTTCGGCAAGTTGCGATATCTCACTACATTAAGCCGTCTATTCAGTCGGTGGTCGTTAATGACTTAAACAAACTACTCATGTAGATGATTTTCAAAATAATTCATTATACATAGAAATTCTGCACTATGAAGTGGCAAACCTGAATATGCCGTAGCTTCTGTGAAATCAATTCCACTGTGCGAATGCTGGGCTCATACGCAAGTGCAAACTTGACAGAAGCAGCTATAATTCCCTAAATGGACGCGGACCTTCTGGATGACGCCTAGCCCTGCGAAACCGACTCTTTTCATCTAATGTTTTAGCCACTAGGCGTCACTCAAGAACCCCAAAGTCGAACTGCCCAGCTGGAAGTACAGCAGGAACATGCGGCACTATTTTTGCAGCAACAGAAAAAGCATCAGCGCACTCAGGGTATTATTCTAACTTATTTACTTCGGATCAAGTAATTCCCGTTTCATCTGATTTTTTACGTATCAAACACTAAGCCCGCCCAAAAGTTGCGCTTACCATAAGAATATAGACTCCAGTTATCTCTGCTTCATTAGGCACCTAATGCCCAGGCCAGGACTGCCTACACCATCTTGAATGCCCATTGCTTGCACGTAGTATAGACCCATTGGAAGGTGAATCACTGGATTGTACTCTGCGGCGAGGTCCTCTGTGTGTGTCTGTGTATTAGATGCCCTCCGCATGATGGGTTTACAGTCGACAGCTATGGAGCTCCCATATAAAAAAGACCACGGTCCCCGAATGAGAACCTGGCATAGGTGATGTAAGGCGAGAAAAATATATTGAATAAGAAATGTTGTGTCTCCTTCTCCGTTAGTCTAGTCACTGTTTGGAATAAATTATCAAGTTAACTGACTGTAGGCAAATGTTGCAGAATAACGGTACAGTCAGTCATGTGACTGTTTTCTCAAACGTGAAGAAATACCCAGAAAATAACTCCCGCTCCGTCTTAAATTTCTATCTAGATCTGGGTTATTTTACACTATTTCTTTGCTTGCTTTTGTAAGAACACTCTTACAGACGAGTATATTTATTTGGCAGAATATGGAACACGTTTCTGATTATCAGAATATCTGGAGGTACGGGAGTCTTCGTCCTCCTCGTTGTTACGGTACCGGCAGTAACTGCAGCCATGCGCACCTATGGATACCCAGGGTGACCGGCTTGAAACGCGCGAAGATATTATTTCTATGTTCCCACCAAGACCATCATCCTTAAAACTCGGTTATAACTAATTACCCTTACAATTGCTCGACGTTGCTGTCTTATCGGAAGCTCCTCAGATTCAACGGAAACTCAGTAACCCAAAAGGTTTGATATTTGTGCAACTTCCGTCAGAAAGGGTCACAAAGAATTATTTAGGAGACCACGGATTCCTGGAAGACATGTTCTTGTCCAGTGAGCTAAACATATTAAGCGCAATCACTGCATGGCACAAAGTAGCAACAATAACCGGAAACGTTTCTCATCATTACCGCGTCCCGGAGCGAATAATTTGACTGCAATTGTTTGAGGAGAAACAGACTACAACTTCGCCACCATCCACTGGCTCGGTAAAAAAAGACGACGTCTCATGTCCGCCTTTTAGAGGCCGATTTGCAATACGGGTGCAAGTGATTCCGTGCTCACAATAAGGCGGTGCGCTTCGTCAAATTAGTTTGTTCTGATCCTCTGAACTTAGTCAATTTAGGGGGCACGTACTCACAGCTCTTCCTGTAAGCAGACCTGAATTTCTTCATAGAATTCTGGTAGTCTATGAGATTAGCAACACGTCGCCTGTCCGGACAACCATCTTTCATTAATTTTTAGGCATGTCACCTCTGTTTTGCCGTCATCCCCACTGTGCTTAGCATCTGCGGCATTTCATGACCGTCACTGTTTGACCTACTCCCTGGCTTTGGTTTGTGAATCCACAGGAACTCTGGAGGAGGGGTCGAATGACACTGCAAGTAGTACAATCAATTGTCCTTTAATCATTTGTGTTTCTCGATATTTGATTGTTGGAAGGACATCTGTCTCCTCCTTAAATAGACGCGCGGTACGGAAGTACGGAAGTCCCCTAGGCAGCTGTGTTATGCATCACAACATGTTAGCCGATTCAACACCCATCGAAGAACTGATATTATAATGCCCTTGCCTTGCGGTACATGCAAGGAAGGGTTCGTCATTTCATTAGTGACACAAACAGCCGCAAGAATGATAGTCGAGTCATTATTTAAACCCGCCACTGAGTGGGCTTACGGAATCCGCAATGGGTTGTGTGGCGAATCACCAAAAAATTCCACTTGCCTTTTTTTAAACGGCGATCTAGCTGCCCGGCTGAGGAGCAAATGGACGTGCAAAAGGATATCCTGTGCTTTTATGGTGTTTGACCACTGTAGTCCACAACCACATACGATACATACAACTATAGCAGTAGTAACTGTGAGGTGAAAGCGCGTGAACATAGTTGTGTGTCACTAACCTTCATGCAAGCTAGCTCGGGTTTGCCGAGTAACAATTTTTTGAAGCTTGCATGTGCATACTTCATCAGACGCGAAGCTCGCCGACCCGCTCTGAGGCAACCCAAACAATGTCTAAACGACTGATTTGCAAGCCTGTTTCCTGGCTAGATCTCACTCCGTCTTGTGGCAAAACTTTACACTTTTCAGGTAGAAGACACCTTAAACCGCATAACGGGTAATTTAGGTTATAGCATATGACTTGCATCCACGAATTGTTTGTCTCAAATAGAACAAGATATCCTGTCTAGTCAATAACTGCAAACGAGGACACAGCGAGAAATTCTGTCACAAGGGTAGCAAAAGAAGAGTGGGGGTGTTAATGCGGCGATCTGCTGGCAAAGGAAAATAGCAACCATAAGCGAGGACAGGAATAACGTGGAGAACTGCAGCGAAAGTTCGTTAGTAACTCTTACACTGCCGCAGAAGCTCGTAAATGACACAAATCGTTAGAGGTTTCCAAAATCCTGTAAAATTTTCTCACGACAAGCAGAGACGAAAATGGTTTTCTGGTTAACATAATTGGCTAAAGTGGGACGTTTGACCCATGCCGTCCAAGCACTTACTTTATGTTTAGGACATGACCGATAATTGAACGATAACTAACCAGTCTCTGAAAAATTCTGCGGCAGGACACCTTGGGTGCTGCGTCCATCAGGCTTATACTACGGTGGTTTTAGCATGACATTTCTGCGCGGGCTATGCATCGGACTCAAAACATCTTCAGGATCATTATCGCATACTTTATCCACTAGCTGGTAACAGGCATCCGAAAAATGCACCAAACGGCGCAGAGCTCGCACGGAAGAAAACAACGATACAAATGCAGACCATGACAAGTAGGCGCCTGATATCCTTGTTTAACCAAGGGACACTCTCTGGCTACATAAAGGTATCATCCAGCCGAAAGTACGAACCGAGCTCACGTCTCAATGGAACCGTCAACATGTGGAGGAAAAATAGAGTGGGAAACAAATTCGCCCAGTGAAACCCACCGAAGCCTTATCATTGGAAGTTAACTGAATTGCCGACAACGAATCGGACCTGGAGCCAAAACCGGATAATGTTTTGCAGAAACCAGGCGTCGTCTTTGGGGCAAGGACCCGAGTGTGAAGGGCAGACAGTACCCGAGGCTGTTTTACTTGATTTTTGTTTCTTGCAGCACGAAGGCCACCGGATCCATTGAACAACCCGCATAATGAGATGAGCGGCCAGTGCTGGTGGACGCCCATGGGCCAATTTTTACTGCCTATATGTTATTGCGTTTACCAGTGAAGCTAACTTTGCTGAATCAAGAATAGCCCCTGAACAATAATAACAAACATGACCCTTGAAGCGTGGACGAAAACCTTCATCCTGTGTATCGATTTGCGGATCAGTGACATATCGCTGTGCTTCGCTCACATTACACATAACATTAGTGCAACTCAATTCTCTTCCGATCCGCGTTATTGGTGCCCATACACCTCTTTCTCTTTCGGTCCAGGCGTAATGCCAAGTGATCTGACTTCATGACCCCCAGGCCTTCTGCCCGAGTGTATACCCAGTGCACCTGTAGTGGTCTGGCTACCCAATAAGTTAGTTTACCAGGAGTGTATGGCAAAGAATTAAAAATAATTACGCTAGGTTGGGTATACAAAAACAAAGAGATCAGATGGAACAGACTCACTAACAATTGTTCTCTTTAAAATAGGTCAGCGAATAAACAATAATCCAATTATGTTGGTCCAGAGGTCTTCTTCTGAACAGTTCCCACATATAATAGATTCCGAAGATGTCTGAAATGATTTGGCACCAGAGTTAGTACATGAGACTCGCAAATGACCGCTGCAAGTGCGAGCGAAATCAGAAGAGAGAGTCGAAGCACGTGACCACGCTTGTATTATGTGAAATTATACAAGTGCGCGTTTTTTGTAGCTTTTTGTATTTGAACGAAAAACGACTATGCAACTGATGAAAAAAGTAGTGTTATAAAGGAAGTAAAATAAAGGTACAAAACGCCACACACCCTTTGATGCGAAATGATGACCAATTGGATCCCTGGTCTCCGGTAGTCCATTCGAATCTGCATTGTGTCCATTGCTGACTCCGCCAGGGTATCGCCAGCTCTTGTGGCTTCGTTCATGCAATGTGTGACGAAGAGAGCGACAAATACGAAAGTGCAGATGAAGGAGTTTATCTACCGTTAAAATCAATATGTATTCCTAAAACTTCGGATGCAGTATCAGTAGAAGTTACGAAACCACCTGCGGAAGTGACGGTAGGATTTTCTTTAGTCTCAGCGGAATTATTTTTGCAGATGGCCCCTGAAGTGCATGGTGGTGGCCCGATCGTCCAGAATATGGCGGACAAAAGGAAGAAATCGCGGAAGTCCAAATCGCAACCGAAGAAGGTGAAAGTTCCCAAAGTAAGTGATTTCTGCTTGGAATCAACGTCGCATGTGCGCCGTCTCAAAGCGCTATCTCTCTTAGTTTATTGAGGTATGCCCCAAAAGCATGAGTAAAATGAGAAGAGAAGTGGTCGAACTCAAAACTGAGAGGGAATGAAGCGACCGACCACACTCTAAGTCTTCAATTTGTAGAGGTACATCCCCGTGTAACATGGTTTCCGGTCACCATATGCCCACTTAATGCTGTGTGCCTTGTTCTCCGCCAATTTCAGGGGTTGGGATTCCAACTAGTTAAAGTCATGATCGCCTTAGAAGAGGTGATATCTTAGCGTTGTGATTACACGGGGGCATGGAGTTGGGAATCCACAAGTACAGTTACATTCGGACGGAATGTTCTAATGTAGCAAGCTAGAGGAGGCATTATACTCTTCTATCGTGGACACCTTGAGCCGATCATAACTGTTACCCCTGTGATTGACGTGCAGTGGTATTTGAACTGCACGCGCTCTGGCGCATAAACCTACACCTTATGTTGCATCACCTGCAACATGGTACTTGATTGATCATTTTATCTGCCACCGTCTAGGCATTTAAGTCCTTCCAACCCAGCTTTTTGTACTCCCGATATTTTTTGCCTTGCCTTGAACCCTCTTCACCGGGGCACAGAAGTTCGCACTAATGTACGTATTAATAGATGTCGGTTTCCTGCACACGACCCTCAACACGGACACTAGGCGTATGCATTCTCATCTCTACAGATGGTGGAACGGATGGATGTTATCAGCGCTGCGTAGATGCGACGTTTGAATCTATCACATCGGTTGGTGTCCACCATAGTTCTGACTTTGGGCGCTACCTCATTTTTGAACAGTTCCGGCCACTTGAACATCGGGGCGACTGCATTATCGGAGGTTTCAGTGCTCCTCAATTAACTGGGATACCTTCAACGTCTCGTGTTTGCCTCCTCTTTCGGATAGACCGGGCTGAATCCTGTCCTGGAGCTCACCCTGATTCAGAAGGCTGCTGAGCCTTCTCGCTTCTCCCCGGCCAGTCCAGTAAATCAATTGCCAAATCACTTGTCACTTGTAAATCAGTCAATCAGCCTTCGCTCCACGTGTGCGTGGATTGCCATCTAGTTCAAACTAATGATTATCTCATCCCGAGTTTGCTCTGCGTCATCGGTACTCCCTTAATCAGTTCCTTCAGTTGTAGCTAGTCCTTCTAGAGAAAATCTTGTAGCCATTGAGTTAACAGCGCCAACACCGAACCGCAACGGAATACGTTTGGGTCTTGTATGCGTGTTTCAGAGACACAGCGAACATCAGTTTTAAGGAGGTATAGGATCTGGGCAAGCATTACTTGTTTGCCAGTACGACATAGAGTGCGGTCGTAGAATGCCCCTATTTAGAGAGGATCTCATGAATTTATCTGTTATTTTATTCATCGTTAATGGTCGGTGTGGTGTATAAGGTTTATCGGTTAGATAGTTGCTTGTGTTCTGGTTAGGGGTTGGGGAGGGACATCGGTGGACACAGAACTGTGCGAGCTTATGATACATCTCGGTTGCTCAGACTGAGGAAGAGGGGTTTAGATGAGGTACCCCGCCTTGAGTTTGACCCTGAAGATAGTAGAAAGAGGAGACTGCCTCTAACCTTTGACTTAGAAGTCTGGCCCGCGAGGCAGTGAGAAGTAGGACCCTCTTTCTCTCAAATTTCTCCTTCCTTGTGTCCGGTGACCCAAAAACTATGACTCAAGGAATATATATCCTGGGAATTGCACTCAGCTCCAGAGCTGAACGCGCGTTGCTGGATTGGATCTTAATGAACAGTAGTCTTTGCGCCTTCCGGTTATCCAGCTTAATTAGGCTCATTGCCTTCCGAAATAAGAAGCGGTGCATGTTTGTAGTATCCGCTTATTTTCCAGTAGACTGCAGTTGCGATTTCGAGAAGGCTACTTTCTATCGAGAGCCATCGAGAACAAAAAGCACTGACATTGTGATCTTTGCGGGCGATATAACTGCTCAAGTAGGCCCTCTTAGCTCCTTGGAATCACATTTGGGCGGTCGGCCCGGAGTCGATATTCGCCACACAAACAAGGGAGATCGACCCCTTTAGTTGTGTGCTGATCATGAACTGTTTTTGGCCAGTACGAACTTTCAGTATAAACGTTCCCATCGCGCAAACTGGCAGCCACCAACTGTAAATCAACCGTGGACCCATTTGGACTACGTGGCCATCGGCCACCGGTGGAGAGCCACAATTCAGGACTGCCATTCTTTCTGGGGCACAACAATATTTAGACCACGCCTTCGCGCATGCACGCCTGGCAGTTCGTATCCCTTTAGGCCCTCTCAAGCCAGCAAGGAGCATGCCAATCCACCATCTTCGAAGAGCTACTATGGCTCAACAGTATCGATCTGAGCTAGCCCAACAACTCTCCACAGTAAACCAATACTGTGGTGGCAGTGAGCATGTAAATCAAGCGTGGCAAAGCGTAAAAGGGGCTATATTAGGGGCGTTCAGTACTGTCCGACTTCTCCAATTCGACCACAAGACCACTATATATCGACGGGATCGCTATCCATGATTGATGTCAGGAAATCCATACCAAGAGGCAGCGAGTACGACGGCGCACGCAAATCCCTCAGACTCCAAATAGTTATGAGTCTAAAGAAGGACCGAGAGTTCTGGTGGACATCGAAAGTTCGGGAGATGGAGAAGGCTTTAGCTACGGGAAACAGCCGTGCCCTATGTCAACTGATATGATCGACTGGTCTTAGGAAGGCAACGGTCAACGAACCGATAAGTGAAAAAGATGGTTCGTTGATTCGCTCGCAAGAAGGCCGACTGGAAAGATGGGCCGAACACTTCGAAGAACAGTTCAGCTGGCGTCCTGCAACACAGCCTGTAGAGATAGTGCATACGTGCGAATGGAATTTAAACCTTGATTGCCTGTCAGAAGAAGAAATAAAGTACAGGAACGTGAGAAGGCACCAGGATCAGACGGTCTGCATCCAGCACTCTTCAAAGAAGGTGGAGGACCCCTGGTGACCCATCTGACAATGATTACTGGTGTTCAATGGAAAGAAGAGATGTCTGCAGACTGGGGCATGTCGACGGTTATCCCGCCGTGTGAACGCCACTGTGGCATCGAAGGTGCTGTTTGGCTTTATCCTTCGAAGGTTTAATGAACACAGGGAAAGACAAGAAAACCAAGCTAATTTCCTACCTGAAGGAGGATGCATCGATCATATCTTCACTCTGCGATAGGTTTTGGACCAGCGACAGTGCTTCCAGCAACCAACGATTGTTGTTTTTCTTGGTCTGAAAGCTGCCTTTGACTCTGTGGACCGTCAGTCACTATGACTCTGTGGAGCAAAGGTGTCCCCATAAATTCTTGATCCTACTTAAGCCACTGTAAGCCAACTCCCGTGGACTTGTGGAGGGCTACAAGAAGCTCTCGTCAGAGTTCACGACATCAAGCGTTATCAGACAGGACTGTCCTGTTTCACAATTTCTCTTCAACTTTGTCATTGATGAGATTATGGAAGACTAACTACCAGCCTCCAATACCCATGGGGTCGAAGTGCTCCCGGGGTGTTCGCTTACAGCTGTCGAGTACGTGGACGATATAGCTCTTCTTGGATCTGACACCATGGTAATGGGCTGGGCATGACTGGGCATGTGCTCCACACCTGCAGTATAAAATGCGGGGGCGAGACGGCTGAAGTGGTTAGAGCGCGAAATTACTGACCAGAAGGTCCGTGGTTCGAACCCAACCTCTGCCTCTCGACTTCCCCTGTCTAGGCTTGGGCAACCTGGCAGTATCCCAGCCCTCGTGCAACCTTCAGGTGGTATGACAGTTAGGCACCGGAAGGTTGCTACAGCTGAACGATTTAGTATAAAGTGCTACTCCACGATTGGGTTGGCTCGGACCCTAGTCTCATGCCTGCAGATGAACTGATTGAGGTAGTAGACAAATTTGTTTACCTGGACGGCTGTATCAGTTTCGGTGGTCTCGCAAAAGATGATATTTCCATCCGGATTGGGAAGGCCAGAGCAGGTTTTGTGAACCCGCATCACTTTTGGCGTAGGCGTGTCATCAGTTTGTCCTTCATGGGTCGAGTTTACAATGCTGCGGTGCGCTCTATGTGTCTTGTGTCTTGTCGTTCAGCTGCCAAAGCATCCTTCCGGTGCCTAACTGCTACGCCACCGGATAAACAATGCTGAAATACGTCGGATGGTATTCAGAAGAAATAACTCACCCTCGATAAATAGATGAGCTGATCACACTGTGTAGGTTGCGCTGGCTGGGCCACGTGCTACGTATGCCAGTCGACAGACTTCCTCGAGGAGTTCTTTTCGCACAACCACGTGAATAGTGGAAACGAGCCAGGGGTGGCCAGACAATGAGTTGGCGAAGTATAGCGAAGCATAGAAGCCATACCAGCATACTCATCTGCGGTGGTTATTGCCAGGATGGGGACCCCGAGACAGGCCAAATCGATGGTTAGAGACATTGTCAGACACGGCCAAGTAGCTCCCCCAATGAGGCCCATTCGCCCAATCTATTGCCTTCAGTGCATAGCTTCCTTCCCAAATTCCCCATCAAACAGTCCACTAAAAGTGCTGTATTTAAGCACCAATTTATTAGCCTCCGCTTCCAGTGCGCAGCTGCCTGCCCCACCTCTCCAAATTATCGGTGAACGGAACTGTGGCAGCTACAACCACTGTACGGCAAGTACGGGGTTCTTACCGCTGAAGATGATGATGACGATGAGGGCCCTGGTTGTCGACCCTATCAGTAGCCGTAAACTCAAAGGTATGGCGACCGACCTGGCCCGAGTACGCAGGGAGTAAGGCATTATTGTCTTACCGCTCACACGACTGCACACAGCGCATGCTTTCGGGGCAGCACCAGACTCTGGCGCCGGCGCTTGTGGTCAACCGTTGGGCGGTCGTAGCATGCGGTTTTTAGGGATAAAGTTTTCTAGACCGTCCTTCCTCGGAGGAAGGTAGCATCGCTGCTCCCACGAATATGGACGTGCTGGTCGCCTGGGGAGAACACCTTACTGCCTTCAGACTCCCGTGGCAGAGGACAACAGGACTTTACTCTTATGATGTCGTAATACGATTGTTCGCAGTACGGGATCTCGCTGGTTTGGTCTGATTGCTCTCCTTCGGCCATCTTAGCATGGCTGCACATTGTGAAACGAAGTTCCAGCCAATGTAGCGCGCGGGATCACTGCAAAACTCAAGCTCAACCGCTATGCCAAGATGGGTGTTTTAGGTAGGAACACAACGAAGCTTACCGCAAAGCAAGTCCAGTTATTGTGGGAAAGTCGCCGCTTAGAAATGATGAAATTCCGGGGACTTAGGCATGATGATGATGATGATGGCAGGAATGTTAACGTTGAGGAAACTGTTTGCATGAATCAGACAAGTTTTCCTATATTTATTGTTTCCGTGCAGAGTGCAAACACTTCGGGATGATTTTCAGCTCGAATAGTACGTCGTGGGAGCGAATCATCTGAGGAAGTCCCTTGGTGTTTTTCTGTACTTCTGTAGCAGTTGGAATTCTAAATTGATCCATAGGAGACCCTTTAAGGACTATAGCCTGACGGAGACCGGAAATAATGTTTCGCATGGTTCAGTACTCTTGTCCGAAAGGGATTTAAAATGTGGTTGGTGTTATGTTGCTCGGGTTGTTAAATCTGACTTTTGACATTAATTAGGTTTCCAACGTTAGATTTAGTTGACTCTTGCTGTCGTTTTGCTTCCGCGCATTGTGCTCTGTCCTGAATTTTATTTTCCTTTCTGTTGGTTCCACTGGATCTTTATATCCAACCAGAGATATTTTTTTAGTAAACGGCTGACAGACTGTCTGAATGCATTGTGCTACGGCCTCTCCCCAAGTCATAAAACTGAAATCAGTGGTCATCCTGAGAAGTCTATGTTCGCACTCCAAACGCAGTTGTGCCATGTGAGTTGATAGGCAGAGCACTCCACAAGAACAGCCCACTTTACGTCTTGCACCATCCGTGGCTGCAGGTTATTCCTTTGCGAGACAAGACGACAGCCACAACGGAACAGAATTCTTGGAGACGATGGGCGGGAGGGGTTAACAACCAAACCACACTGCCTTTTTTACCTAGGGATGGAAAAGAAAAGTTTGTCCACTTCCCGGGAACAATTGGAGTCAGACCTCCAAGCCCAACTCTCTGCCACATCGGGTTAGACAAGTTCCCTCTTAGTGGCAGTTGAATCACACTTAAGTGGGGTCCCCAAGAAAACACTGACACCCGTTGCCTCACGAGCAAGACCCGGGGAAGAGACTCGGAGCAGGTACTCAGGCAGCAATAACGATTGAGACGGAATCTTTGTTTTCACTTTTCCCTGTGTCAGGGATTTCCGCCGTAGTCCTTTTCCTCAGCTTTTGTTGGTACTCATCTTCGAATGTTTACCAGACCTTCGCATATCATCTACATTAATGCCGTCAGTGACTGCACCTTCAAACAACTCATTTAGCAGATTCGGTAAATGCCCTGTCAAGTTAATGACTAGGTATGTTTCGTTTCCGAGCATGCGGTATATTATTCCAGCACTACCGTCGCTTTAACTGTCATCGTCGTCATTGACAGCAATACACCATTAGTACATGCTGTTGTTTAATTGGCTGCCCATGCGAAATCACCCGTGAGCGAAACCATCAAGGATCGGAAAGGATTGACCATCTTGAACGAAGAAAAACGCCTCGACAAGTGGGCCGAATACTTCGAACGACAGTTGTGGCCACCAGTTGCCACTCATCTGGAGTCCATAGTTGACGTGGAACCCTGGACGGTGAACGTAAAACCACCTACTGTCTCGGAGTTATACGACTTCATATATTCTCTCAAGCGCCACCGAGCTTCCGGTCTGGATGATCTTCCACCCGCATTGTTTAAAGACAAGGGTGAAATCCTCAGTGAGCGCTTGTCTAATCTGTTTACCTGCATTTGGGAGAGCGAATCTGTCCCAGACAAGTGGGGAGAGTCGGTGATAGCGCCCATTTTCGAAAAAGGGGCTCGTATTGAGTGTGGTAACTGTGGGGGCCCAGGCTGACCCCGATTGTAACGAGACTGCCTTAGTCACTTGTGCTTCGCCGCCTTACGGTGGCATGCGTGACACTGACTCGAGAGCAGCAAACGGGATCCCGGCCTGATAGGGGTTACGTTGATCAAATCTTCACACTCCGTCAGGTGTTAGAACAACGCCATATGTACAAGCGGCCCACAATTTTAGTATTCCTGAATTTCCAAAGTGCATTCGACTCAGTTGACCGGTTGCCCATCAATGAATGTTCCGGAGGTTTGTGAACGTCCTACATTCTTTGCATTTTCAGACTTCCGGACGTGTGAGAATATATGGAGAGCTCTCCAAAAGCTTCCATACGCAAAGTGGTGTTCGTCAGGGATGCCCAGTCTCTCCATTCCCATTCAATTTCGTGATTGAGGAGATAATGAGACGAACGCTGGAAGGTCTTTAAAATCCCGGTGTTCAAATAGCCCCTGATGAAAATCTTGTCGACCTGGAATACACAGACGATATCGTTCTGGTCGCCGTTTTTTGGTATGTGCTTTGCACCCACAAAGTGTATGGTCATACTCGTGGACATGCAGTCACTGGACACACCACTTACAACCCAGAGAGAAGTACTGGAACTTGTGGAGCGTTTTACGTGCCTTGGAAGTTGTATCGGTGTTGATTGTAGTGTGACAGACGAGGTGGACGCACGAATCTTCAGAGCTCAGGTCGCTTTTTCTAATTCGAGACACTTATAGCGTCAAAGCCGTATATCCCTGAATCTCAAGAGGCGTCTGTTTAAGGCTACAGTACAGGCCTCTTTGTTGTGTGGCTGTGAGACTTGGTCTGTTTGAGCAGCGAAACTGAGACGTCTTCAGGTGTTCGACATAGCTCGTGTGGGTTGGTGTCGGCGTATCCGTAACGGGACAATTAGGAGGCGCGTTTTCGGTTGCGCAACGGGTACTTCCACTGAAGAATGCGTCCAGCACCAGAAGCTGCGTTGGTATTGCATATGCCGAACCATCGTTTGCCGAATAGAGTGCTTCAGTGCTTCGACCACCGATGCCTCAGAAGCGTGGCTGGTTTTGGATGACATCAGCGTGTTAGTAACGAGGTGATTAGAAAACGGGTATTTGGTTGTTCTGCAGGCACCTCAGTCCGAGAAAACATCCAGCGTCATCGACTGTGATGGCTTGGTCATGTGCTATGCATGCCGAAACACCGTCTACCGAGACGAGTGTTGTTCTCCGTGCCTCCTTCAGGAGGCAAACGACGAGGTGGACAGCACATGACTTGGCAGAAAGGCGTGAAAGAGATCACGGAGAGTTTGGGTGTTGTTGATGTTGTGCGACTTCCAGGATGGGGTCCCTGTGACTCCGTCTGTGCTTGTCTGGAGACATTGCAAGAAATGGCGGCTAATCGATGTCAGTGGCGTTCTTGCTGTCAGTTTCTTTCCAGATTGTCCGACTGAGCGGTTGGAGGTGTAGGCACCTCAGTATGCTTGACATAGGCCAGCACGAAGTCCCCTCCCTCACCCACTCTTTTTCTCTTCACTGGCTTTAATAGTTGAACATTGATATCGTGCTGTCGATGATGGTGATGGTGATGATGTTGGTTAATTGACTGCCCCTGCAAAGGGTGCTACTCGGCTTACCGAAGAATGAGAGAAGACTGGAGTTTGAATCGCCTTCAACTACAGGACGGAAAGGCTTGATTGGTTGGACCCATGTGGACGTCCGGTCACTTTTCGATGTCAAAGCCCGTATCCTTACCGAAGCCAAATCCCTCTGTGGTTAGCAAATACTCAAAGATCGTGGAAAGTTGAGTGACCACAACTTTTCACGCTAATCAAAATTTCCTGTGAATTTTCAGTATGCATGAACCCAGAAATCCATCCTTAAAGGTTTCCAGTCGATTTCATAATTTCAGTATGCGTGGATGCACCTAATCAGTTTAATGTTCAGCTCACATTTTTTTGTCTCAGGTTAAATCACCGCCTCAGGAAATCCCCTGGAATATCGGAGGTTCCAGTTCACATCAGAAGGAAGAAAAACGAGTCAAACCTAATTCAGACCAATCAACAATAGATTCCCATGCCGAAAGCTCTTCCCACATAGTTTCCGACCTCACTACCACAGTCCGTGACAAGGAAGATGCCGACATCGCCTGTAAATCACACGATTCTGTAGCGGAATCAGCTACCTTCATAATTTCAGTATGCGTGGATGCACCTAATCAGTTTAATGTTCAGCTCACATTTTTTTGTCTCAGGTTAAATCACCGCCTCAGGAAATCCCCTGGAATATCGGAGGTTCCAGTTCACATCAGAAGGAAGAAAAACGAGTCAAACCTAATTCAGACCAATCAACAATAGATTCCCATGCCGAAAGCTCTTCCCACATAGTTTCCGACCTCACTACCACAGTCCGTGACAAGGAAGATGCCGACATCGCCTGTAAATCACACGATTCTGTAGCGGAATCAGCTACCCACGTGCAACCCAGTGAGGTGTCCCCTCCAACACCCCAAATACAAAGTCGCGATGATATAATACAGGTCGAGGCAGAAGGAAGCACAGTTCCTGTTTTGGATGGTTCTCCATCGAACCCTGACGTCATATCTTTTGCTGCCTCCAGTTTCGTCCGCGGTGTTGGAGGCGGTTTAAGCACATTGGCTGGTGTTCTTACTCATGCAATCCAAGTCGCTGTTGAGGATGAACCTGTGGACGTCACCGAGCGACGAAAGGAGCGCCAGAATAGGGAGGAGGTGGAGAGGGAAGCCATCGCAGAAGCTTGGTCCAGTGTTTGGAATTCAACTTGGGGAACAGGTGGTTGGGGAGAAGACGAAGACTCCCAGCTGCCTGATCCTGACTTGTCTACTGAGAGCAAACCGGCTTCAGCCATGATAAATAATGATGCAGCTTCTCCTAGCGTATCGGACCTTGCAGTCAGCACTCATGAGGAACCCACTTCCTTCTGGGGCTGGTCCGGTGTGTCCTCTTTCGCCCAGCAACTCACGACGTCACTCCAAACAAAGGTACTTGCACTGTTGATCAGATGTTTTATCACTTGTCACTGGTATCTGTCTATCACTACTGTGGCTGTCAACAGCGATCATGCTGTAAGATGTTTGGAAACTCTTTACCAATAATGTCCTCGCAGTTGAACGAAGTTCTACGTTCTCCCAAGAAGGCAAAATCTGAGGGAAGGATAGATCCACCTGTAAGGGTAGGACAGTTTTTATCATTTTACGTACCAGGAAGCCCTGTTTCAAAATTACACGGTGATTTATAGTTGCTGACATTCACGAGCATTCATTACATTCATGACGATTCTCGCAGTACTACCTGTTTGTCTGCCTTTGATATATTCTGATGAGCTTTTCTTAACAAACATATGGTTTGGCTCACTAGAGTCATGGGTCAGAGCTGATTGGTTTATATCTCTGGTGAGATACTCGCCGGTGATTTTGCGAGTTTCATGCTTTTTTGGAAAAATAGTCCGTCAGAGGTGCCCTACTACTTTTTCCATTAAACTGCAAAGCGTTGATTAAGGTGCACACCGGTGAACATAGCGGTAAATACGAAATCATTCGGTGGATCTGGCCAATGAATGACAGTATTCATACACGGTGATTAACTTCCTTATTCCACTGATGCGAATTGCACGTAATGCACTGCTGAATCGAGCAGACCACCGACATGTACTCACCACCATGTGATTGGATATACTCTAGTTCGCGGGTTCATTTATCGTTTACCGGACTCTTAGTCCAGTGCAATCCTTACTAGTTTAATGAGGCATTCCAAACTAAAGTTGAGTTGGGCATTGGCGTGACTTTCCTGAGCTTACAGGTTTGACCATAATTCCTCGTGTCTGGTTGTTTTCCAACCATTCTTTCGATGGTCATTAAACTGAATTGCAATGGCTGGAACAGTTTCATCTTTGGTAACCAGTTTTAATTTAAGTACCTCCATTTTTAAGCACTACCAAGCAGTACTATGTACTGCATGGAAATTCACATGAGTTAAGCGGAATGGACTGGGAGTACTGTTCCACGCGTTTTACATCGCGTTAATTGATTGAACGGATGGGTCATTGCAAATCAAATTTTTCTTACAAAAGCATAGGATTATTGTTCTGCTCTATTTTCGCGCCGAGCAACCAGGTTCTTCTTCGAGACCTAAACCTCGGACCGTAATGAGATATTCGGAGACTCAAGTTTAATTAGCACAGATGAGTTTTTTTTGTATGAGGTCATTTATCATACCTTTTTGGAAGATAATGCGTGTTTTAAGCGGCAACTCTGCACCGTTTTCAGCCACACTGTTTTAAGGATCACTGCATCATATGTTCCTGCTACCGATTCTATTACTTCTACGGCAGTGAAGCATCGGTGCTGCTGTTGCTGTCTTTGATGATGATGAGGATTCTATTACTGCCATAAATTTTGTCTCCTGACAATCCTTTAGGTAGTCCATTCATGTTTTTTATTTTCTCGTTTCAGAGTCTGACTTTGGTACAGGAAGGCGTTAATGTTTTAGAAAAAATTGGGAAGAAGACCATGTCTGTGATTGAGGAGAATGATCCCGGATTCCAATACACGAAAAAATTTCTCAGACCTCCTGGCTTGCGCGATCGGCCCAACCTTTCGCAGGTATGCCATGTGAACAGAAAATGTTCAGTTAGTTTCACGGTTCATGACCTCTCAGTGGAGACCATTATTTGCAGGAAACGTCCAAACGTTTTCTTGTTAAAAAGATGACAAGAAGAACCACGCCACAGTTTCCCACCTAAAACTCCGTATTCCAACCAGTATTTTCGTGGTTTGATTGCTCCGTACACTCAACACTGTCATATATACGTTGCAGGCCTATATCAATCCACGGCGTCTAAGCCTTCACGAATGATTCATGATTTAACTCAAACAAGAACTACGTAACAAAATCATTTGACGCACAGGGGCATTCTGCTGCAATAGGTAACGGTGGTCGATAAATTTGGAGGCACCATATCCTGCTTTGGTCCGTGTTCCTGTGTAATGGCGTCATAACCGTTTTCAGGGCTAACTTGGATTGGATGCCATACCGATTTATCTAGTTTTATCTCAATGATGCCTAACTCCCTTCCCTGTAATAGGCACTGCTTGTAAGAGGTCTCCGTTCGGTGTGACAGATAGGTGGCCTCCAAGTTAAGCAGTTTGTTTGTCGACATTCAAGGTATCCTTTCCGGGTTACAAATCCCATGCAGTGGACAATAAACAGTCCTAATAGAAAACAGTGCCAGTTTTTCTGCTAAATCTCAATCACCTAAGGGAGAACCACTGATCTTTTCCGTGATATTGAAATCGGTCTGCTTTACTGTCCAGTGGCGGACTACACAGAATAACTGAACACCAAATTTACTGGATGGATGAATGGCGATCTGGCTATAGACCAGAGGAGGGTATGCCCTGGCTAGTCAGGTAGGTCAAAAATCACATCTTTTCAACTCGGCCCCACCGCAAAGGTTCTAGCGCGACCTTATGTATAGGATTGTGATTTCTGTTCAAATACTGTTGTAATTTTACTTCATCCTACGAAAGACTGTCTCAAGCTACTCTGTATTTTGGTGGGTAGCACAGCCTACCAAGTACCGGTGTAAGTTGCGAATCCACCACATTTGCTTTGCCATTTCCTGTTGAAAATAATCTAATAAGTAGCACACAGACAGGAGACTGTTTGATAACTGGTCTGAAAGTGCATACGTTAGCTCAGTACCACACGACCAACCGTGGTTTACTCGCAGTCACTCAGTTTTAGAAAAACGAAACAATCTTATCTACGTCTGTCAGTTATTCAAAATAGGCGTACCACTTTGTATTTCTAAGATTTTAGGTAACATGACCAAACTATTTGAACCATCGAACCAATATCTGCCCGGTTATTCAGGTCTTCACCGACGGGGAGCTGGCACCAGAACAACTCTATGAAGTAGCGAAATAGCTAGTGGAGATAGCCCTCCATCGCACTGAAGAACCGGATGATGACTTTTTCGTAGATGATGCCCCTGGTGACTCTTCGTGCTTTTTAGCCACTTATCACCACAACGAACGGCCCAATTTGAGTTTCTCCGGAGTTAGATAGCCAACCGTTTTTACCATCAACGTTGTTACTGAACCGACTCATGGTCTGTAAGGGTAATCTCTGGCCGCTGTCTTAACTGGGATGCATTTTCCCAGTGATTCTGTAACCCTTGAATTGTCGATCTTTTTCCGCTGTGCGCCAGTCGGGAAACGTTCCGAGGCATCTTGTTGATCGTGCTGAGCGATCTGTGTTATTTTTGAGGAACAGAAACATCTCGTTTCCGGTAATCTCGTCTTATTTGAATCCGGCTATTGCAACACCAACAGTTATGCAGCTACGCGGTGGTTACGAAGTATTTGAAGGGTTCCTGGCGTTGAGCAGACGTAAACGGTCACCAGTGAAATCACGCAACAGTCCACAAGCCGTATGACTATTCCAGTTGGTTGGTTCAGCTTTCAAGGGCACTATCCGGCACTGAAGCATCGGTGTTGAACACTGATGTCGTGCTGTTGATGATGACGATGATGATCCGGCTCGAGAGTTGACCAACTGAGCTGCTTTCCGGTTCAATATGGCTAAGCAAAAATCGATCCCTATGCCAAACACAGACCGCACTTCAGTTAATGATAGTTCTTGTTATCTTTATTTTGTTGGTTTCAGGTCATACGGGAAGCCTACGAGCGCGACCAGAGCAATCTTCCGCACACAGATAATGCAGCACGAGATTCACCTAATAAAGGTTCTCTGAGCGCATATTTGGAGAGGAACCGTGCATTAGTACATTTGGAAGCTTTGGAACTGGTCAGTGAGCAAGCCGAATCACAGCTGCACATTCGCTTACAACAATTCCCAGAACAGACGCAGGACCTCACACTTGAGACGATATGGTGCACACTTCAGCTCGAAGACGCGGAAGATAACGAGACGGAGACCTATTTTGAGGATGCTACTGTTTTAAAATTGTTGAAAAATACCGGAAATTCGAAAGACCTTTATGGCTGCAGACCAAAGGACCTATCCGAAGAGCACATGCGCGTGTGGATTGTATTACAGCAAAGTTTGAATGAATTCAAACTAATTTATCCTGGAGAACGTCTCCTAAAGGTATGTTTTCTGAAAAAAATTGGTAACAATCGGTAGATGTATTGCTGGGCCACGTTTCGCTTTTGGCACAAAAGCTTCGTCAGGCCTGGTGACTAGGTCACGAGGTTGGTCGAGATTTAAGGCGAATTCGAGACACATACTGAGTACACGGGACACAGAATTTCTCAGAAGTTCGTAGTCATTAATAGGGAAACCGTATACCCCAAAAGGAAATTATTCACCATTGTGCTGTCTTTACTAGATCAAAGGTCTTACGGATCATCTTGTGCTCTTCGGTCTCCCCCCCCGTCATGGTGTCAGGGCAGTGAAGCATCGGTGTTGAACACTGATGTCATGCTGTCGATGCTGATGATGTCAGGATTCCTTGGACGAATCCCGAATGGCCGCATTGTAACCTGCACCATCACTATTCTGTGCTTTACTTTGTTTCAAGACACGTCGTTTGGCAATGCTAATGCTGCCGCTTATTACTTGTCCCGTCTTATACCTGATTAAGAGCGCTGCTAGACGCCCTCGTATTTTTGGTTTTTGGCCAGTGTTTAACGGTCTAGACAACCTAGTGTCCGTGTTCAGCTAGGACTGGACTTCTTGTTCCTCACAACATGGTAGTATATCAATCCTCGTTCTTCTTCCAGGTTGCATGATAGCTATTCACCCGCCTATTGTTGTTCACAAAATAATTTGATGGGTCTTAAGACCAGAACAGCAGAAAACGTCTATAATTTTGAAGTACCAAGCTTGTCAAACTGAAACCAATTGTTGCTTGCTATGAGTTTATAAGTCCATCGGATGCCATAAAACCTGAGATAAAACAAAGTTGAGTTTGTTGTAACTGTGTGTTAGCTGGGTGATTGAGGAGATTGATGGGACTTCTTCCATCACGTTTGATAGTCTAAGTACTTGAGTGGGAAATCACTGGGAAGAAGACGAAGGACACTGGATGAGGATCGGTTATACTGTGGATGCATCAGTGGAAGAAAGAGCGCTGCTGCTCAATGGGCTGCAACAAAGAGAAATTGAATTGAAAAGACAGTTGTTCGTTAGGACCTGAGCGTCCTAACAGAATGATTAAACCATCGATTGACTTCCTTTTGCCGTTAACAGCAATTTATTCCAACTGCAGTCAGTTGCTGCGTTGAACGAAAGCTACGGCGGAGTTATATCGGTTACATCGGGGCACTATACCATACTAGAGTTCATACGCAGTTTCCATTAAGGTAACTTACCATGAAGGACTCTCGGGGCAGCTCAACCGTATAGCACTGCCTGGGTGAATAGTGAAGCCTCAATGGGTGTACTGATTTGTATGTCTGTAGCTGTCTGTCTTTTTGTACGAGTTTCAGTCTTAATCAAGTAGTCATACAAACCTATCCGAAACATCGGCTGGTAGGTGCTAAGCTCAGGGTCGCACACCCCTTAAATATAACCTTGGGTATCCGTTTTTGGATGTACGCCCTACTCGCCGCCCTGTGTTTGGACTACTATAATTTGCGCAGCGGTCGAGGAGTTTCGATTTCCCATTCACTTTGACAGTTGGTCAGGTGGGTTTTGTTCACCGAACGTGGCAATTCACTTTTCTCAGACTTTTACCGTTCCAGAATTTGACGGAGTTTTGGAACAGAATCCAGGACACCCAATCTGAAGGCAACGCTGAGGTAACGTGTTCGCCAAATATTTCCCTTTTTTGTGCTCAACTTGTACTTTGTGTGAACAATCCCTCTGGGATTCCATGTTCAGCAGATTCAACTGTACCTTGGTTTCAAAATTTCACTAATTGTTGCTAAGTCAATTTATGCTGTGTGTATTTCACCAATCTGGGGGGGGGCTGTTTGATCTCACAGCCTCCTCCGATTAGTCGTGAATACTCACATGACTGTAGACAGTTGACCAATAACTTGCAATGAGAATATGGCGTTTTGGGATAATGTAGTTCGCCTCACTTGAGCACATGTTGTTTGGCTCCTCAAGTGGCACATAATATTCTTGTCGTTACTACTGGGTTAAGTTGACTTGACGATGCCGTTACTTCAGTTGTCTAGACTTCTAGTGAAGTCTCCTCACTTCTCACTCCAACTCACCGTAGCGAGAATTTTGTGCAGAAATGATGAACAATTGTAGTGTTACCGTAGATCTCGTTTTATGATTTACTGAACTGTTGATACCATCAAGGATTTTGGGATTTATCACTCAGGCGTTCGCCGTGTATCCTATACTGAAAAGCGGGGAAACGTAGCACACCTGTTACGAACCACCAGCAGTGCGCAACTTACGAACTTCCATGCTTAGTAGTTGAAGACTGAACTTTTCAGCCTCGAAGGACTCATCAACATTGGGATTAAGTGGTACTTGGACATCACGTGTTGATTAGCCCATAGAGCAACGAATTCTCAGACCGAGGGTTCAAGGTACTTGTGAATTATTCTTTCCTCTTAGCTACTTATAAATCATTGGTATTTTGCGATTTAGGAGTATTTCAATCGAACATTTGTTGTGTGTGTGAAGTCGTTCTTGGTGGAAGGCTGAAAAGCACCGTACAGGGGTTTCATTTCCGTTAGAGATGATAAGCAGGTCGATTGGTTTAGTCCTTAACTACTGGCCGGGAGGTAGCGAATTCGAGCGACCCTGGAGGTTCGTGAGATGCCCATTGTTGCTGATTCCAACCAACGATGAAACAGCTGTATAGTACCTCAAATTTCCGAATTGAAACTTAACAGGAAACCTGATTTTTACATGACCTAACGGCTTCTTGACACTTCACTCGAATCGAATGTTACTCTTGACTTTAGGTGGAGGACTGAAGCGGCAGTAATGCTGACTTTACTGTACCCATGTTCTAGTGCTGGCAAACCGGCTTCTTGGACCCTACTTTACATGTCCAGGTGCGTGTTGTAAGTTAACGAACCTGCTGGGTCGGTCGATCACTTGATTACTGAGCGGACTGGCTAACAGTTTGCTTGATAGTTTCTTTCAGTCTTTTTCTCTGACCAAACAACTTCGTTCCACCTGCATACCCAATTCGGAGCCTCATATTGGCCTACTGTAGCTTACAGGGAGAGTTGAAGACTAATGGAGCACAGGATTTCATTGATGTGTGGTTGTATGTGTACTGTTTTTAATGAGTTAAAAATAATTTTGCAGCTTTCGCTATGCACTGGGTTTGATTAATCTCATCGTACTACTCACTACTGTTTTGAAGGATAGCGATTCGCTATCTGCATTACACCTAGTGACTCGTTATCTGCCGCCTTGCTGATGCTGCTGCGTGCAGTTCCTCATCTCCGTGTATCTGCTGTTTTGTAGACACTTTTTGCGGCTGCTGTTATCACGCTTGCTGATATCACCTCTGCCTACTTGGAATACTTGCACAAAGTAGCGGAATGCATACTCGTACGGGATCACGAAGCGTTGTTGGACTTTTCCTGGTTGACTTCAGTGATTGCTACGTAAGTTTTCTGCACTTAACCAGTGCAAGTATAACGGTTGACACCAAGTCGATTCATACAGCTTTTTGATGAAATTTTCGTCTCTTTCTCAGTCTCTTCCACGCAGCGTTCAGGTTACAAAGTGCAACAAGTTTGGAATACATCAAGCTTATCAAGACGGTAAGTCTGCGTTTCCTCATTACTAATTTAGATTGGCCCAATTACTTCCCAGTTTTCTTCGTTCTTAACAGCAATGTTACATTTATCGCGAACTCCTGACTGTTGAATCCTTGTTGAATAATGGAAGTTTCATGATCCTGGACACGGGGATCTGCTAGATTAGAATACCTTTTGAGTCGGGATCTCATGAACTAGTTGGATGTATGTTTTCTAGAGACAGATGCTTGTTCACCCCCTCAAACACCTGCCGTTTCATAGCTGTGTGGTGCTGCTGACTATATTGAAGTATGCATTTATGTGGGACTCCATTCTCCTAAGGAGCTACACGAATGATGGGGCAACAAGCGCTGTTCGACTGCCTATATCTCGGGGGTTCCTGATTAACTCCGTACAGGGAAACTGCTTTATTACCATTCTGACTGATATAGCTCAGTGGTTAAGGTGGAAAGCTGTTGACCAAAATATTCACAGGTGGAACCCAGCAATGGCTTCTCGACTCTGTCCAGGTTGGTGTGTCCAGTAGGTTTCCCAACCCGCGTGCTTCCATCAGGTTAAGTGGCAGCTATGCACTGAATGACTGCCACGTTTTCATGCCTTGCTATTTGGCTGGAATGATTTGACGCTGCCCATATTCACTTTGACCTCCTACTTTTGCACAGTCCCGGAAGTCGCTTACCGGACAGACTACTATAGAATTTAGCCCTCCGGTGACTTCAACTACTCAGTTTGTTGCGAACGTGCTACTGGAGTGCAACAACGCGCAAACATACTTGAGAAATGCCGCACATTTACTGGTCCCCGTTTTCCAGCTTGCATGTCTCAACTCTTCACTTGAAGTCGAATCAAACTGAGTAGCGCAACTGAACGATATCAGTTTTTATTGGTCTCTCTGTCTTTCTTTGCTTGTTCTCATTACTTTCCTCCGAAATAAATCGTGATTTGCCTTTCCTGTAAATTGTTCCATTTTTGAAACTATTTTGTATTGATATACTTCATTTTGTTGAACAGACTTGGCATGTTCACCGGATGACAACTTGTTCCAAAGTGTCTGTTCATTTGAATAAATAAGCTGTGGCTTCGGTGGTCGATGCTCTCGTTCGTTCGCTAGTTTTTGTTGTACATTCCCGTGGACTTAGTTTGGCGATGGTAGAAATCGGTCGATAATTTGACCTAAAGGACTTAAATGACCCAAGTAACGCAAATGACGGCGATATGCTTGGACTTGAAGCTCAAGGTTGGATCAGAAACTGACCTTTAGCATCGAGACGAATCCCATGATTGATCAGGTGAGTCTGCTAGTCTTCCACGCCGAGCGGAAAATGTACCAGATTTCCTTACCACTGAAAGAATGACCTGGGTGTTTACTGACTGTTGGCTGTGCTATGGTGAACCTGTGAGCTATGGCGGTCTTGAAAGTTACACTGCACAGTGCAACGGGCAGCTGAGTCATGTGGCCTAAATTCACTTCACATGAGACCCGTCAACTGACCAATGCCAGCGATACATTAGTGGATGTTGCTTTCGATGTTGTTTTTTGTGGCTCACATTGTGACAAGTTGTGACGATGCAGCGCGTATAACTGGAAATCCTGGATGAGGTTTGCACCGACCACTAATGTCGGCTTATCTCGCTCTAGATATGTTGAATTCTGTCACATGTAACCTATATCCTTCAGAGAATGAACGCTTTGTAACTCCATTGACGTTGCCTTGAATTTTTGACCGGGTACACTATCTGAGCACATGATACTTCTCTGGACATTTGGGCGCTTTCTCCCTCTGGTTACCTGACACAACGATTGGCGTACAAACCCCAATTGTCCATTGTCTGTAAATCTGTGACGGAATCAAGAAAACAACAAATTCCTTGTACAGATGTCGTGATGTGCTACTACTCAAGTGAGGCATACCAATTACGAGAAAGGCATAGAACAGAACCATCCTAGTGAGGTAACTAAGCACCGGCCACATACTTTTCAGTTTGAATAGCACTTTGTAACCCAAATGTGCCAAGGAGTCGGTTTCGCTCATCCTGGGAATTTCGTAACTGGGTCACAGAATTCCTTTATCATACTGATATCCATGTGTGATGTACTGATTCCGTTTAAAGACCGGAAGAGGTGTCAACTGGGAAATGCTTGTATTTAGTAACTAAACAATTAACATTCTGATGGCGCAGGAGTGCGCGAGCTCAATGGGACTGGTTAAATAGAACAGGTCATTGACCTAGGATTGTTTCCATCCAACAAACAGCTGAGGAATTGGCATGCTGATGGGGTGGTACTTTGGCATGCGTAGAGCACAGTCTGACTAGCATAACAAACTGCTCTGCGGCCAGCTAGGCTCTTCAGAAACCATTCGAAACCTCCCAAGTTGACTTTATCCTCCCATTATCCTGTGAGGTGCTGGGAATTTCGAACCCGCGGCCTCCCGGCTAGTAGTTTGAACACTTAACCATCCGATTGGCTGATTAGCAGTGTGATTAACTCGTTGAGTGTGCGTCCCTTAAGCCAATTCATGGTGGTGCCATACAGGATACAGCGCCATTCATTCAATTACGGAATCCAGTTCACATCTTGACCACCGATACTACCAACAATCTATAAGTAGGCCAGAGGAAGAATAACTTCACAAACCGTGTGAACGTCCCACTTCAGAAGTTGTCATTCGAGCTGGCAGTCAATACGTAACTACATCTAAGTGCTGGCTGCTCGTGACCTTTAACTTAACCGCGAGGCTACTAATTCGAAACTCCCTGGATGTTCGTGAGATGCGCACTGTCGATGGTTACCACCAGGATGAAATATATGTACGCTGCTTCTCGGCGCGTTGGCTAGTATGATTCATGATGCTGCTACTCGTAATCCCAGAAACTACGTCATGACAGAAGAACTAGATGTCCGAACGTGCAATGCGACTGTGAATTGAGGTTAGGAAAAGGAAACTGTCAAATGCGTTAAACAACTTCAAGCTCCAATGCCAGACAGCCCAGTAGAAATCGGAATCATTAGTGGATAAACAGCTTCCTTCGTGGAAACTGAGTCAAATGCCGGTAACTGGAAACCCAGTTAGCCGTGTGACAAGCTTCCCAAAGATGATTACCTTCTCCGTTTACAATGCACGCGGGATCTGTCGAAATCACTCTCAACGTTATCGGGGAACTTTCCCGACGTCTGGACACTTCACAACAACCCTTCGGTCACAGTGGACTTTTAAGTGGGGAATTTGGGAAGGGAGCTGCGCACTGAAGGCTTGGATACACGAACGCCACTGAGGGCGCGACTGGGCCATGTCGGACAATGTATCCAAGCATTGATGTGTCCCGCCTCGGGGTCCGCTTCCAGGAAGGGGGCGATAGCCACCGCAGTTGAGTTTTCTGGTAAGGACTTTCATACCTCGCTACCAAATCGCTATTTGGCCTCTCCTGGGTCGTTTCAGCCCTTCACGTGGTTCTGTAAAAAGAACCCTTCGAAGAAGTCGGTCGACTGGCATACAGAGCACCAGGCCAAGCCAGGGCAACCTATCGAGCGTGATCAGTTAACCTATCGTGGGTGAGTTATTTCTTCAGAAAACCATTCGACAAACTTCAGCATTGTTGATGTTGTTGCTGATGTCGCGCCTACGCCCCACATGAGGCCATTCTAGTCCGGATGGAACTACCATCTTTCGCGAGACCACCGTGACTGATATGGCTTCCTAGGCAAACAAATTTGCCTACCATCGCAATCGGCTCATCCGCATACATGAGGTTAGGATTTGAGCCCACCCAGCCTTGCAGCGGCACGTTACGCTTTGCATGTGTGGAACGCATGCTCAGCCGTGATTATTTAATATTGTTTTCGTTACCACGGTGTCAGGTCCAAGAAGAGCTATATCGTCTACGTACTCGATGTCTGTAACTGGTTCTGTAAAAGAACCCTTCGAAGAAGTCGGTCGACTGGCATACAGAGCACCAGGCCAAGCCAGGGCAACCTATCGAGCGTGATCAGTTAACCTATCGTGGGTGAGTTATTTCTTCAGAAAACCATTCGACAAACTTCAGCATTGTTGATGTTGTTGCTGATGTCGCGCCTACGCCCCACATGAAGCAGGCTCACAAAAGTTGCTCTGGCCATTCTAGTCCGGATGGAACTACCATCTTTCGCGAGACCACCGTGACTGATATGGCTTCCTAGGCAAACAAATTTGCCTACCATCGCAATCGGCTCATCCGCATACATGAGGTTAGGATTTGAGCCCACCCAGCCTTGCAGCGGCACGTTACGCTTTGCATGTGTGGAACGCATGCTCAGCCGTGATTATTTAATATTGTTTTCGTTACCACGGTGTCAGGTCCAAGAAGAGCTATATCGTCTACGTACTCGATGTCTGTAACCGAACGCCCCGGCAGCACTTCGACCCCAAAGGCATCAGAGGCTGGTAGTGAGTCTTTCATAATCGCATCGATGATGAAGTTGAATACAAATGAAAAAAAGAGGACAGCCATGTCTGATAACGCTTGATGTCGTGAACTCTGGCGAGAGCTTCTTGTAGCCACCCGAGTCCACGGGAGTTGGAGTACAGTGGCTTAAGTAGGATCAAGAATTTATGGGGACACCTTTGCTCCGCTACATCCTTTTGTAGAAAAGCAATTAGTTTAATTTTCCTGTCTCTCCCTGTGTTCAGTCAACCTTCGAAGGATAAAGCCAGAGGGCACCTTCGATGCTACAGCAACCAAGCTGGTGCCTCGGTGGTTTTCATACAGCGTTCGCGTGTCCTTTTTGAAGCTAGGAATAACTGTCGACATCCCCCATTCTGCAGGCACTTTCTCTTCGTCACATATTGCACCAATAAGCTTTGTTAGATGGGTCACCAGGGATCCTCCGCCTTCTTTGAAGAGGGCTGACAGCAGACCGTCCGGTCCATGTGCCTTCTCATGTCAGCGCAGCTACAAACTGAAGTCTATAGAAAGGTGACGCACACAGACCAAATTCTGAGCTACAACAGCAATCATCCAAATTCTCACAAACAAAGCTGCATTCGGACACTCTTCAGACGGATCGGAACATTGCAGCACCAGAGTCCGAAAATAAAGAAAAACGTTCGTACGTATTGTTCCAGAGAAATAGACACCCAATGAATTTCATCTTGAGATCACTCAGAAAGCCAAGCACGACTAACAACAGCACAAAATGGAAGCAAACGAGTCACACTCTCGTACATCAAGAACACAGCCATGTCTCTTACGACAGCACAACACGACGGTTGTTTACAAACCTGCGAACATTTTGCGGAGAATACTATCGAACCCGAAATGGAAATTAGATCCAATCATGAAGAACAATACCATATAGAGGATCCCATGCAAGGACTGCGACAAACGGTACGCAGGACAAACAGGAAGGAAGCTCCTCATCAGAATACATGAACATAAGTTCGATACACAAATACACGATCAATGTTCTCTCGTTTCCGTGCACAAAGATCAGAGGGGACACGAGTTCGACTGGAGCTGCGTTCGCATATTGGCTCAAGCGAGAACGAAGAACGCGAATTTATGGAAGCCTGGTATTCCACCGAAAAAGTTATCAACAAGCATATAGAAAGTGGCCCTATTAATCAACCGCTAAGAGCAAGAGAACCACGTAGGTCTAAACTGCACAAACAACTAGACGAGGAACCCGTAAGAGAAGCAGAAGGGTCCGATCCAAACGGACACATCACTTGGATTGGACAGTGATTGGCTGGCAATCACTCTCGAAAAAAATTAGACCACAACACAATGCAGACCCAGAAGTGGGCCAATCAAACACGGGGAAGAAAACTAATAAAATGGAGGGTATCGGGATAAGGAATCGGCTCGAATGAGCGCAAACCACAACGCGACTAAATCATGGAAGGGATCAATGAAGTCACGAAAAACGCTGTCACCCAAACAGCCAATCACGTCAAAAGAAAGCAGATAGGCTTAATATGCTACATAAGCGCACCCTGAAAAACACGATGTACCCATCCAACTGCGCACTGATGATGTCTCATCGTATGGTGACGAAACGTTTGCAAGCTCGGCGGTCAGGTGGACAGGCACCTGATCAACGGGCGATCAATGTTTACATTCCATTCGCCTGTATGCATTTTCTCCAAAGGCGAGAAGCCAGCTAAACTATTAATCGAAATTTTGGCCCATGTTTCCAGTTACGTTTTTGCGAGTAAATTGATGAGACACCTTTTTCACTTATCGCTTCACTGACCGTTGCTTTCCTAGGGCCAGTGTGTGGTAGGGAGGGACATCGTTGGACACAGAACGGCGCTACGAAACGATACTTCCCCGTTTGCCCAGGCGAGCAAGGGAGTTTGGTTGGAAAACGTATGACTTGGCAGAAGGGTGTCAAAGAGATTACGCGTCAGGACGAAGAGGCCTGCGCTGACGATATAGCTATTGAATAACATGGATATCTGAGTACAAGGAACGTTTTTTAGCAACCGTAGTGAATGGAATGAGTTGGCTGTTAAAAAAGTTCTGTATTGTAGAGAAAGACTGTGTGAACAAAATCATAATTTGACGGATGGAACTCGGTTAAGTCCTTGATATCAGTTTCTGTGCGAACATCATTTTGTTCTAATGGCTGATGAGGTCGAAATACTGTCATAAGTTCAGGATACAGGATCGAACAAAGTGCACTGGAGACCCAGTGTTAACGAAGAACGAACAGTCATGTGTACACCGAGAGGATAACGTATTACTCCTTAAAGATATCGCCAGTTCGAGTTCTCCAGCAGAGTAAACAGTATTCAACGTTTTTTGCGACGTCGACATGAACTCGGTTGATTCGGATGTTGTTGGATGGATATTTCACAATTTTCCAGTTCACCACTCGATAACTGGAGCAAAAAAGACAAAGCAACCAATCGCATTATCAGCAAAGCGAAGAAACCTATGGAAGTCGGGTGCACAACACTGTTAGGAAGAAAAACTGTCCTCATAATAGTGACATGCACTGAATTAACAATGCCCGAAAATAAAGGACTGAATCCTATTCAGTCTATGGTTATGGATATGGTTGCAGTGTGCACTGATCCGTTTACACTCAAGCTAGCGTCAATCGGTTATAACAGGCAGTGTAGACCCGTGATTTTTTCACACTGACCAATAGAGATTAAAGAGTGTGCTTTTATGGATGCATGTACGTGCATTGCGTCAATGATGATTGCTACAATGATGTGACAGGGTCATCACGGTGGACAAATACTGACAGTGCCCAGTGACAGGAAGTTCCCTGATTGATGCTATAAAGGAGAAAAAGCATCGTAGAGTTTTAACGCAACCGACCGCTGACAGTACTCCTCGAGACGATCAAGTCAATTGCATAATTATTACAGCGGTCTCATACAAGCAGCGCATGTATAATTACGCCACGGATCCTGACAGTTAATAAGCTGACGATAGTTAGGAGTGACATCCTGGAAAACGAAAGGAGGATGTTTTCATGGCCGAATTGTGACTTGTGATGCAAAAATCAGAGAGAGGGGGAAGCGCTATAACTGGATACGGCACCAAAAAAGGGTAATTGGTCATAGACCGGAAATACACCATGGGTTTCATCCTCGTTCGAAATCATTCAATGGGTGTTTGAGGATCGGTTGCGAGTTCCTTTGTTTGACTGCAATGCCAAGCAACCATTAAACACATTCGCGCACATGGCAAAAAGCTAAGAAAAACACCTGGCTGCTCCCCAGTGGTAATTTTCCTGCTTAACTTTAAAACAAGGACCGGAATGGATAGCTGAATCCAAGACGTTTGAAAAATGCAACTTAGAGGGTTTGTTGACGTTGGCGAGACATCGCACTAGGAGATCAAATCATTTTTGCTTACCACAGATCGTCGGGAGTGGCCTTGACGAGATTTTGAGAAAATATGACGATAAGCACAACTAATTCCATTCCAAGATTTTTAGTTTGATCTACCGGATAAAGCTGCTCAATGGTCAGTATATGTACGTTAGCAGTGCACCTGTAGGACTCTACTAGTGACAACTATTCTGGCAAGTGAAGTAAGGTTTACGGAACCGCATGCAAAGATTGATGTCCTTGGTAGCCAGCAGAACAGTTAAAGAAACCTACCTGTTCGGAAGAAGCGAACTCTGTTAGTTTTGAACGGAATTCCAAGTTGAGAAGTAATTCTTTGCACTCTTCTTTGGATGTTTTGGCCTCTGCTTCGGCCTTTTCCGCTCTGCTACGCCAGATGGATTCATTATTTAGCAGGCTTTTGTTCAACGCTCTTTCTTCTTCCAACTCCTTCTGTAACCGTTGTGCCAAACTGGTAGCCTGTTGGTAGGTGTGTAGACAAACTTATGCGGTGGTACCAGGTGACATTCTTGTAAGTTTCGACGTCAATTCGTTATATACAAATGTGCAAAAAGAAACTTATGTGGTTGTGTATGTACCATTGGCCGGCGATCATCCAGGACCTTCAAATCGTTGCGAACTGATCAACAGTTGGAAAAGCACAACTTATGGGCTAGTCGATAGCTTTGAGCATCTAACCATGATGAAGTAAGCTGCAGGCTACATACTCAACATAGGAATAGAAACGGTTCGATTCAGGGGCTTTCGAATGGTGTTTCAAAAGCGCACTAGTCTAACTGCCACCCAGAATGTTTCGCTTCAAAACAAGATGGTGAAATAGCGATGACCAAGCACTAAAAATCTTGTTTCGTTCCTCCGTCCTGCAAGCACATGTGTAATGCTTGAAACAGATAGGGTCAATTGTTTCTTTGCGGTAACTAAGATTGATAATGATCAGCGCTCTACAACTTACAAGCTGATAGGCAGCTTGGTCACGCCCGAACTACTGACCATTTGTGTCACTGGTATCTGAACGTTAAAGACCATTCGTTAGTTCAGGGTGGCCTCAACTCAATACTTATGTATTGTATCCGTTGATCTCTCGGATAATGCCGGGACAATGAGACTATGGAACCGTCCAAAACCAAACGATCGAGAGCACCGGCTTGCTGGACTGAAGTGAAACCACAGTGTTACTTGATGACTGAACCCCTGCCACTGCTTACGATACCGCAACAGCCGGAAAGTGTTACGCTAGCGGCCGTAGTCCAAATCTGAGTAAACAGAGATGAATGTCAAGGCCGAGCGGGTTGAAAATAATCCTTCCTCACCCAGATACATTCATGTGCTTCCGCTGAGGGTTGCATAATTGTCGTTCTGAATGCCGGCAAGTTCAACCCATTGCAACGGACGTGGAAACTAAATTGAGCACGTCAGCACACAAATGCAAGCAATATGAGTTTTCGCAGTCAATCTACTGAGAAACGGACACGGGAATATACAGTCGATGTTGATTCTTTATACAGCCTACATTTCACACCCACCTGCAGATAAACCGTACACTAGTAGAATGTGGGTCGGAGACGGGGGACTGAAGGAATCACAACAGACTGTAACCGCCAGGCTGATTTTTGGATACCAACAGAGGAAGATGGACCATTGTGATCAGGGTCCATCGATGTCTCATGGAAACAGCACAGTCTACACGGTGAAAACGACGAGGACTGAGCCTGTCTGGGGTTGATTAGCTAGGAGAATCCTTAACCTCAAACCTGTTTGGATGAGAAACTGATCTCCGGAGCAACCACGAATGAAAATCCTAGTGGGTTGACGATTCAAGGAGAAAAGGAGAAATGCAGATTCTTTGCAGGTCACATGGATTACTTGGGTTTCCGAATCAGCACAGTAGACTTACATCTTCAGGGAAAAAACACGTCCAAGTATCAAGACCTCACAACTCAGGGACGACATGAACTGATGCCACTTCTCGGTATGTACGATCCATTCACCAATCAGCCACCTCGTTGCAAACATTGAAAAGTCTATATACGAGTGTGAATTAGACACGGATCGAAGCACGGGGGTGTCCTCCAACGGGCTAGGAAGGTGCTCACCACCAGGTGCACTTCCAAGCTGTAGCGTACCGCGCAATACATCCCCGTATGGTGTAGAGGAAGAAGAATGGATGACAGAACTGGCTGTGTACGCTGCCAGCACCACTTTTCGGATAAACTTTCGAGATACATACAGATAAAAAAGCTGCACTCGGTAATTTTCTTCGGATAAACTTTCGAGATACAGATAAAAAAGCTGCACTCGGTAATTCTAGAAAGGACGAGCTGCCATCCATCTGTACCGCTCATGGAGGGAAAACTACCGTATTATAATTTTAGTCACCACAGTCACAACGCACGACCAACTGAAATGGCGAATTGGATAATTTCTATGGAAAATCCAAAACTCGCTCCCACGAAATAAGTCTACTCCAGAAGAGCTCCTCAAATAGCTGGAGTCCTGAAATAATCTCATCGGATAGTTCGAAGCGGTCACACTGCTTGCTGAAAATGCGTGCTTCTTACGTAGCCATGTAGCTATATCCAAGCGATAACGCAAAGAGGAAAATGCCGGGAGCTACGCACGATGGTGACCTAGAAGCTACTGCAGAGGAGCGCGTGGAACCTCAAAAGAGCAAAGCCATACTATCACTTACACTGATCTTACTTGGACAGTGGCTATCGAACTCTCGCAACGCTACTGAATACGAAAGGAGGATTATTGCGGTCGATGCTCCTCGAACTAGATGGAGGCATGTACCGTAGCCTTGAAATCAAGTGAACCACACGGATTGTGGCTGATAATAGTGTGGTATTCATGATTCAGAAGTTTAGATGACTTGTAAAGCATCTCAAATGAGAAAGCGAGGAGGCATGAGGCTGTCAGCCTCATGGTCACATGAACTAAACGAATCATCCCCACCAATCACAACGCTAACGGGTCCTGAGTGCCGTAACCTATTCAAGAGCCTTGAATACATGGGAGTGAAACTCCCCCCGCACGGCATACTAACTGAAATTTGGTTTGCAGATGACCTTGTCCTCTCGATTTCCCCATCTTCCGAAGCGAAAGTGTTAAGTTTTCCGGAGAGACAGATGGCAACAGAGTTTCTTGTGCCTGTGCAAATCGCTACGAAGTTAGGTCCGGAAAACCACTATTATTCACACAGCAGACAGTCTTTTTGAGATCGTCAACGAAATCAAATAGGTGAGTGTCATTTTATTCTGATGCCGTGGACGAGTTCACCTGGGGAGTAAGCAGATTATGTCCCGCTTTCACGGTATTTCATCGATTGTGTGTGGACGAGTTCACCGCTTTCACGGTATTTCATCGATTGTGGTGGCAAAAAGATGCGAGCAGTGGATGGTGCTCGTTTGCGGCTAGCCCCCCTGGATGATTAGGAAAATTAACCTCCCAGCAAATCAGACGCATATAAGCTGCTAGACTTTGACCACGACTGCACCTGCCAGCTGGTTTCTATCAAGACACATGGTCGGGTGAGTGATCACATGGGACATGTACACTAATGTGACAATCAGCCAAATGCACGTCCAGTGCGCAATTTACAACTAAAAAAAAAACAACCAACCGTAAGACCCGACTGGAAGACAAGACTACGAGCTACCAAAGCCGCGATTGCGACAGTTAACAAGTATCTGGTATCATCCGTCGAGTGGGGAAACGATTAACGTCCCTCGTCGATGGTTGAAGAAACTACGAGATGTGGTGAGTGGATAGCCATACCACAGGAAGTAGCGCTTTGTGGCTATCCCATAAAAGTGGTACTATTGCGCTACGTTGAGTGGCACGCCATTGTAATGAAGGTAACTTAAATTAAGAGAAAACAGCAGTGGCTGTTATGAAGGAGCTACATGTAGGAGAATGCGCTGCGTTATGGGGTGGGAGAGCTGTTTTAACAATACAAAATTTCTACCAAGCTTCCAAGTCCCAGCGCAAAGCGCCATTGTTGGGAGGTGTGCCGCATGTGAATTTAATTGGGGGGTATAAATCCACTAAAATTCCTGAGTACGAAAACCGCTCGTGTAAAAGAATTTTACCTGTTGAAGTTTTCGTATAGTAGATGATTTCTCCTTGGTTAGTTCGTTAAGTTGTTGTTGGACTTGGTTTAGGGTAGAACTCAGTTCCTCAACTTTGCTTTCTGCGGCTTGGATCCGAATCGCTGACTCCGTTGTAATCCGCTCCAATTGGGACTCAAAGTATGCACGTTGCGATTCCAACTGACTTGTCAGTACAGCACTGAATTCCATACTCATCAGATCTAGCTTCTTATCACCTGTTTCACTTCCGGCTCCAACCTGATAAATACAGGATGAGACAGCCAATACTTAAGAAATTTTTGAAAAGCGTTAAGGACTATGGCATACGAGTTTGAACCCTCAGGCTCACTACCAGAACACAGACAAGTGGACGCACTGGCGTCCACGTTGTTAACATGTATCGAAGTGGCTCTCAAAACATTTTTCTGTGACTGCATCAGCCTAGCCTTTAAACAGGGCGTCATGGACACCTGCAGGTCCAAGGCAGTGCAATCGATCAAAGGCCAACAGAGTTAGTCACTCTTAAGCACCCAAACAACCATTGAAATAACCATACATTCGTTTGCGAGGAAAGGTGCAGAGATTCTGAAAGGGAATATCATGGATGATGGCCTACCTGACTTGGACTGACTGTGACTAATGATAACACATCCGAAAACATGATTCACAGGAATGGGGTTTATCTAGTGATTAAAAAAAACGACAGACCATTGGATCTCCCCCGGGTCAGGGGCTCCAGTCCGTACATAAAATCGGCAACTTCTTTACCGCTACGATTAAGAACCAGATTCATTTGGCTACTTAGGTTGGAGTTTCGGAACACCTCAAGGGATTTCAGTTTTTAATTCGTTTAGGCGAGAATGACATTGATAAGACTAGGGGACATCCAGCTGCCTTAACTAAACCCAATCTCCTAACAAAGGGAAAGAAAGCAACCTCATCAAATTAGAATACAGTCCGTACGTGACGCAGAGAAACGTTCCATTTCGCCTAATGGTCTGCCGCACGAATTTTACGAAAGCTGTCATGGATGCTCTGGAGGGTAGCAAAAAACAACTGCACTAGTGAACTTCACTAGCCATGCAACTGAGTCCACTATGGCAGTGGTTCCAATACTACTCCACATCGCGTAACGTTTTAGTTTTGGTGACCGAATCCGGTTCAGGTTATGTTGACCCAAACCTAAGACGTCAATATCCACACAAGTTTGAGAACAGTTGTTTTCTATCGCGTCACATCGGGCACGTACAGCGATAAAATGGAGAACTATGTTAAAATACTGCACAATATCGCCACACTGGTGAGAGAGAAGAACAACACTATCTACCCAATGATGGAGAGGTCTGACCAATGCGCCAAGGCAATATCAGCGCTTTCAGGTTTCCTGACCGCTGAATGGCGATCACCTCAGTAGCTTCAAGCATTCATTGGTGAATAGCCTTCGACTGATCTTATGTACTCAACAGATTACGCTGAATGACTCGGGTGGATTGATCCAGGATCCGTATCAATCATGAAACTGGCAACAGAGCTTGTTACGTGTCTGACTGCTACGACTTTTCGGCAAGTTTTCCTTGGTACTCTGAGTATGACCATGCTCAACAGTATCGAGCTGAGCTAGCCCAACAACTGTCCACAGTAAAACAATACTGTGGTGACAGTGAGCATGTGGATGAAGCGTGGCAAAATGTGAAGGGAGATATGCTAGCGGCGTTCAGTGCTGTCTGTCCGACTTCTCCGATTCGAACACAAAGCCACTGGATATCGACGAGATCACTCCGAGAGCTATGAAGGACATCGAAAGCTCGGGAGATGGAGAAGGCTTTTGCTATGGGAAACAGCCGTGCCCTTTATCAACTGATACGACCGACTGGCCCTAGGAAAGCAACGGTCAGCGAAACGATAAGTGAAAAAGATGGCTCATTAATTCACTCGCAAAACCGTCGACTGGAGAGATGGGCCGGACACTTCGAAGAGCAGTTCAGCTGGCCTTCTGCAACACACCCGGTGGAGATAATGCATACGGGCGAATGGAATGTAAACCTTGATCGCCCTTCGGAAGACGGAATAAGGTACAAAATAGCCGTACTGAAACGTAAGAAGGCACCAGGACCCGACAGTCTGTGTCCAGCCCTCTTCAAAGAAGGCGGAAAATCCCTGGTGACCCACCCGACAAAGCTTATTAGTGCTATATGGAACGAAGAGAAAGTGCCTGCAGAGTGGGGCATGTTGACAGTTATCCCTGTCTCCAAAAAGGGTACGTGGACGCTATGTGAAAACCGCCGTGGCATCAGCCTGGCTGTAGCATCGAAGGTTCCCTCTGGCCTTATCCTTCGACGGTTGACTGAACATAGAGACAGGCAGATCCGTGAAAACCATAGGTTCCATAGGTTCTTCATATAAAGTCAAATTATCATTACAGTAAACTTAGAGTAGAATGAACCCTAAGACGAAAAAACTGATGCTTTGGGGCAATATCAAATTTCATCTCCCAAGAAGCTGAACAGACAGCCTGTCGGTTGCATACCAACACATCAAATCAGACCGGGTCTGAATGTGACACGGTGACATTATTCGAAATCTCTCGGGTGCCTACTGATCCGGTTATCCTCATTCGATATACGACGAATAGACACAAAGCCACTGGATATCGACGAGATCACTCCGAGAGCTATGAAGGACATCGAAAGCTCGGGAGATGGAGAAGGCTTTTGCTATGGGAAACAGCCGTGCCCTTTATCAACTGATACGACCGACTGGCCCTAGGAAAGCAACGGTCAGCGAAACGATAAGTGAAAAAGATGGCTCATTAATTCACTCGCAAAACCGTCGACTGGAGAGATGGGCCGGACACTTCGAAGAGCAGTTCAGCTGGCCTTCTGCAACACACCCGGTGGAGATAATGCATACGGGCGAATGGAATGTAAACCTTGATCGCCCTTCGGAAGACGGAATAAGGTACAAAATAGCCGTACTGAAACGTAAGAAGGCACCAGGACCCGACAGTCTGTGTCCAGCCCTCTTCAAAGAAGGCGGAAAATCCCTGGTGACCCACCCGACAAAGCTTATTAGTGCTATATGGAACGAAGAGAAAGTGCCTGCAGAGTGGGGCATGTTGACAGTTATCCCTGTCTCCAAAAAGGGTACGTGGACGCTATGTGAAAACCGCCGTGGCATCAGCCTGGCTGTAGCATCGAAGGTTCCCTCTGGCCTTATCCTTCGACGGTTGACTGAACATAGAGACAGGCAGATCAGTGAAAACCATAGGTTCCATAGGTTCTTCATATAAAGTCAGATTATCATTACAGTAAACTTAGAGTAGAATGAACCCTAAGACGAAAAAACTGATGCTTTGGGGCAATATCAAATCGGTTGGTTGCGTAAACTTAGAGTAGAATGAACCCTAAGACGAAAAAACTGATGCTTTGGGGCAATATCAAATCGGTTGCATACCAACACATCAAATCAGACCAGGTCTGAATGTGACACGGTGACATTATTCGAAATCTCTCGGGTGCCTACTGATCCGGTTATCCTCATTCGATATACGACGAATAGGAGATGATCGCAATTTGTCAGAACGTTTCGACCATTCGTCGTGGACCATCAGACAGTTTCAGACCTTGGGCATATGCAGGTTTGATCCTAGGCAGGGGGTAGCCGGAACACATGTAACCCCGCCACTGAGCACACATAAAGTACGGCTGCATACCCGCGAAACATATTGTCATTTTATCTGCATATGACAATCGCTCGAGAGCAGAATGTCGAGTATGATTAAACAGGTTTACCCATTAGGGTCACTGTGCTAGTGATGAGCATACAAGACAAGCATACAAAGTAAACCTTTGAGTCAAGAGTAGAAGTCATGCACAGCATGTAGGAGGGACTGAAAGAGGTCCGGTAAAACTAACCTGTACCAACTTCCCGTCTTCGTGATTAACAGCTAAACGATGGACATAAGCATCATCCGCGTAATCCCATACCAGATTCTTCCCAAGCTCCAAGGCAAAGGTGTGACCAGTCTGTTCAAAATGTAGCTGAGCATGCTTCCTTCCGTAACGACCACACCCGATTCTTCCACAAATGAGACAAATCCAAAGGTTATCACGAATACAGCAGTCCGCACACTGGCTTTCGTCCAACAGCTCCGGAGATTGCATATAACGACATACAGGACATCTTCAAGGTGACGAAGAGTCAAGGGATTGGAATGTTTCCGGACTTACGTAATATCTTCCACTCGGGCAATGCATTCGTCGTGAAATGAGTGATTACAAAGGATCGTAGTGAGAATTCCCTGAACAGGTTCATCCTAAAATGAAACCACATGCAAGGTTAAGGGGAGAACATGCCAAGTAGAGATTACGAAGCGCGAGCAGCACTGACACTTCCACAAAGTAACTACAGATTGCCACTAGACATTGAACTGCAGGCAAAAACGTCAAACGTGCAAGGAGAAAGACAAAAACTAGCAGTGAATAAAAAGCCGTAGGTGAGAAAGCGTAACTAAGGATAGGTGAGAATATCAGCTCCCATGGACATGGTCCCCGAGCATCAGTGGTTCAACTTTTGGTAATCTCATATCCGAGTTCGTTGAACAATAACGCGATCAGTGGTTCAACCTACGTCACAAGAAGTGACAGTGAAGTACGGGAGCTTCCCAGAAATTCTTGCAGAAAAGTAAACTGTGATGCTAACATCCATAACCTATGAGTATGCCCGACAGACGCCATGCTAGATTACCTAAGTTAGTCTAACGGCAACTGACTTTAAAACATATCCTCATTCATAACATTCGTCTCACTCGTTCAGCTGTAGCACCCTTTAGGTGCCTAACTGCCGTGCCACCCGAAGGTTGCTCGAGGGCTGGGATACTGCCAGGTTTTCCAAGCCTAGACAGGGGAAGTCCAGGGGCAGAGGTCGGGTTGGAACCAAGGACCTTCTGGTCAGTAAATTCGCGCTCTAACAACTTTGGCCATCTCGCGCTTATCCATAACCTTATGCCGAACCAGATTTTAGCCACAGATGACAAGAAGATAAACTCTCGTCAACATAGGCCCATTGGTTTCAACATGCAATGGTTCCGTAACCGTCCATCGAAACTGGTTCCATGTTTTCCCAATTGTCTGAGGGAGGCATACTTCCCAAATTCTTGCTTCCACTGCTACACCGCCTACTCAAATGTAGTGAAGGTACACAGCATCCAAACTATGTACGTGTGTTGGTCGTCTACGCATGACCCTCTGTGTCCATTTATCTTATAGTCAACCAACAGTTCACGCTGTCTCAGTAGGTTCGTAACTGTCACGCGATTGTCTCATCAATAACTTTGTCCATTAGTCTCCTACTAACACTGAAAGTCTAGAGGAAATAATGGTGTTTCAAACCTCTTTAGCTTACAAGTCCTATCACATAGGGGACCGCATCTTATGGTGAAGCATGTAGTGAAAAGCACCACTTACCAAACGTTCCAAGCAAACAGGACAAGAAGGAAGTTCCAGCAAATCTTTTGTAGGAAAAGCAGTCCCCTGAAATCGGTGAAGGGGAAAAGGAAAACAGGCTTACCATAGCTGGATGTGTCTTGTCCACATGGGATACATACATGAGCTGGCATACCTCAGATTCCAAATTTCTGTAACAAGTGTTGTTATAGGTGTGATAAAACTGGTCAGTTTCTTGCTGAAGAGTAAGCAACCTGTCAAGTAAGTACAAGGAATTACTTCAGATCTGAATTTCAGCAAAGCCATATAGTGATTAGGACCACCGTTTTTAACCACTTTCAGCTCTTCGACCGAATCCCTAGGGAAGTCTTCGGGAAGAAATCAAAACGAAACATACCGCATTGGAGCTACGAAACTCAGCAAATCCTTGACGGTGAGGTACGAGGGAACAGAGAATATACAAAGCATAGTAGACGACACTCGGCTATCGGTTACGCCCACTTCTTTGCTAGAAAAAGCCACATGTCAAATCAGAGTTAATGGATCTTACGCATTCTTATAGACATGAATAAATCCTTCCGTTGTCTCGACGACGGGATTTCCAGACCGGAATTCTATGGCCTCAATCTCAGGTTGCAACTCATTCATTGATGATGCAGCAAGGTCTTTAGATATAACAAACAAATGAAAGTCTGGGGACAACATACCTCGTAAAGAGTAGGATTCGATGGCTAGTTGTGTAAAACTCCTTTTGCCCACCCTTGAAGCGCCCAAATCAGCGAAGTCTGAACAAGGTAGACAACCCAGGGAGTTTTTTGCAGCAAAAGGGTAGGGAAAGTTTGGGGCTGCATTAANCTGCATTAACTTGAAAAAAATAATGAATTTAGCAACATACATGAGTAGATGATAGAACTTGATAACTTTGGAACTCTTTCTTCAATTAGTATGACGAGAGGATACACAGAACATTGGTTCATAGCTCATCCCACTGAGATGGCAAACAAGCGAGCTAAGTCTGAAAGATCTTGCTGAATGGTCGACCGTCGAGTAGTCGATACGTCATGTGTAGCGTCTCCTAATCCAGAAGTCGTGTACTATAATTAGTGATCGATACTCAGGAGAAAACAGACGCGCAGCGCCAATATGGGGCTCCACTAAAACGATAAGAGGATAATGCGCAAGAGAGAATAGTTACCTGAAACAACACACAAAGCAACGAAATGAAAACAAATCATTTGGAGTAACCGAAATAGGATAGCACCGTCATACTATTTTGAGTGGCCTCAGTCCACAATGAACATACGTGGTGGCGCGAGGTTCCCTTCACAGTGACGCCATTGTCACATCCGCAAAACATGCAACTAAGCTTCGGTACAAAGTTGCGAGCGCAAGCTAAGACACATGGGTTACATGCAAGGTAAACGCCTTCATGACACAGGTTTGAATGGCTTGGTGAATTTTGGTTAGATAATTATGAGTAGAACAACAACAAGGATGGCACGAGTGCGGAGCAGAAGAACCCGAAATTAGGCACAGTCGACAAATGAGGGACGAGCTTACTTGCCTATATTTCAATTAACTAATTGTGCATTCACCAACAAGGTGATTTCGTTCACAATGTTCCAAAGAAACGCAGACACGCAAGGCAGCCGAAAGTCCAATTTCTGTTAACATTCTACATTTCTTACAGATATGTGGTAATTAAACATCTACATTCAGTACTACAGTGTATCAGTTATGTATGGTGCTGCAACGATATCATTGGCGCCAATAGGAATGCGGAGTTCGATTTTGTTTCCAGACAAAATAGCACGTATTACTTTTAATATAAGTGAGTGGAATCGGACCGCGATTGGGGCCACAACGTACTTTATCTACGCATAAACTGATCACGAGGCGTGGATATTGTGGATTCACTTCTGTCTAGGAATATGTACACACAAGACAGAACTCCGCGGTTAAATAAGCCACTGAAAGGTCGGTATAATGAAGCCATACCAGAATGAGAAGCCCATCGACCTTGAAGTGTAGCAGATCAGAGCATCCTATCGTTATCGCATCATAGAAATGAGTTTGTCTGGGGGACTATGCTGCGTATTACAGAGACTTCAGCACACCGGGAGTCTCACGAGAGACGAAGACGGTCAATTAGGGAATCAACGGAAGGAGTAGCCCGGTCATTTTCGAAGCCCGCCGACTTGACCCAAGTTTGAGTTTTATTTGAGGCAGAAGGAATGATAGTGCGTTTGAACTTCGTGCAGCGATAACGCGTGGAGACGATTCAGTGGCGGTCAATCCATGACATGGCGAAAAACTATGAAAGCTCACACTCGCCAACTCAGTTGCGTTGACAAGTATCATCTCTCTGGATGGGGAACCCGGGACGGGAAGAACCCGTGGTCAGTAGCCCTAACAGGTATGATCCTGTCACGCAGGGGTCCTCCACCAAAGCTATTACCTTCGATTCGTAGCTCCCTCATTACCTGCCTCATCAGACAAACAGGACAATTTGACTTCACTGAATGGAGTGGGCCACCACCTCCAATGCGTAGCTGTTATTCCGTTATTATCATCGGTGGACGAAAATGTTGCAGCTGGAACCAGTGTACGTGGTTTATTGCTGAATATATGACAGTGCCAAGTTCTGATGAGCGGTTACCTGTGATCGGAATTGAGAAGCGCTGACAGCTGAGTGTTTTCTGTCGGTGTGCTAATTGCAATTTGTTACTATGCAGCACAGGTTTCCAGAATATTTTGTAACTCCTGTCCAGTTGTAAGGTATTCTGTTTACCAGTTTATTCTCCTTTCAGGTTAGGACTTGATGGAATGATAACAAAGCTATGGTTGTAAGTGAAACTCCGATGTGCAGCACTAGTGTTGCTGTCGACAGAAACGACGGTAAGAACTAGCCACTACTGACTACACGGTAGGCCAGCGTAAGGAAAAAATACAAACAAACATTCTTGGGAGGGGATGTAAGTGTCCTGATGACCACCTACTAAAAACAGATGCAAATTGGAGCGGAATTAGAGCCTATGGTTGCCGCCTCCCCTCCCCCTTCCCAAATAAAAGGAAGGTAAACAGGTAATTGTTCAGCCCATACCACCCCCTCGGTGCATAGATTCCATGCAACACGAAGGAGGCACGGGGGCTAAGATAATGTCAAGTTGCCAAAGTCCAGATATGAACATTCGAAAGCCAACGATGGGGTTCGGACAACGGACTGGACCTTCTGACCAGTAGTTTTGCGCCTTAAATGTTGGACAATCCTGAGCTCATGGTAGAGCGAGTAATACATACAGGCGGAAAAGCGACGTCGTTGCGGGTTAGGAATAAGCAAAGTAACCAGAATTTAGAGTTGGTGGTTGTGCGGGAGTTGGAAAACAGGAAAATCGATGTTTCACAGGTAAGCTGTTTTAGACAAGATACAAACGTATGGGTTCTGTAGAGAAGGATCGTAGCGATGAAACAAGGCAAGGGATACCTCAGTGGTTAACGTACTATACTACTGACCGGAAGGCTCCTGTCTAAGTTTGGGGAACCTGGCACTATCTCGACCTTCATATCTTTCCTGAGTTACGTGGTAGCAATCCAGCAAAACGGTGACAAGGCTGAGCCACCATCTGTATTATTATTATTATTATTATTATTATTATTATTATTATTATTATTATTATTATTATTATTATTATTATTATTATTATTATTATTATTATTATTATTATTATTATTATTATTATTATTATTATTATTATTATTATTATTATTATTATTATTATTATTATTATTATTATTATTATTATTATTATTATTATTATTATTATTATTATTATTATTATTATTATTATTATTATTATTATTATTATTATTATTATTATTATTATTATTATTATTATTATTATTATTATTATTATTATTATTATTATTATTATTATTATTATTATTATTATTATTATTATTATTATTATTATTATTATTATTATTATTATTATTATTATTATTATTATTATTATTATTATTATTATTATTATTATTATTATTATTATTATTATTATTATTATTATTATTATTATTATTATTATTATTATTATTATTATTATTATTATTATTATTATTATTATTATTATTATTATACTTGTCGATGACGTTTTTGCCGTGTCGATCAGAAAGACTACAGTTATGAGGCGCATAAGTTTAATTGGAATAGAGACGAGTGTGTAAAGGTAGCACAAGTGGA